AGGGGAAAAAAAAAAGGTCCCCAAAAAAAAAAAAAAAAAAAAAGATCAATCACTCATCACTGGTAAAATAGATGCAGGAAGACAAAAAAGCAATGTAGTTAAAATTATCTGCAATCTACAATGAGCCAAACAAATTAAGTGAAAAAATTAAGTTTTCAGATAAATGTATTTTCCCATTTTCCCCCCTTAGGAAGTATTTCAAAGTGTTTTCAAGCAGTCAAGGGAGTAAAGTGAAAAAGATAAAAATAAGCAAGAAAAGCTAAAAGATTACAGTTGTAAGAATCAGTCCACGGTCAAACAAACACGGAAGGCTCTGGAATAAGGAGAAATTAAAGGGAGTTTGCACTACTCTTGAAAATTTGAAATAACTAAAGGAGATGATAAAGCCAGATGATACAAGGAAAAACAAATAAATTAGAAACTTCCAAGAAAAAACTAAAAACTATGTAAGTCGGGAAATGTAATAACATACCTACATGGTCATGTGTAATTATTTACTAATTTTCAATTTTAATAACTAAGCTATGAAAACAGATTAGTGCTTATCGAAGAGAATAAGCATTTTAACTTTAAGACAAAGAGAAAGCAAACTTTTATGTGACAGGTAAAAATAAAACTTTACCATTATTTAATTACTATTAAGTAATGAATCAAGAAATAATGTTTGGTCTGAAAACAATTTTACAAAACAATCAGTGTCTTCGAAGGTAAGGTAAATGTTTAACTCTTGATGCAAAAAGTCATAGTGGCAAATACTGATCTATCAAGGAGGAATAACAGATTAGTTTATTATTTAGATATATGGCAATCATCACAGGAAAAACGAAAATAAACAGTTCAAAAGGTTAACAATGATTTCTTCTGGGAACCAAAAGGGGTGGAACAAAGAGCATCTTTTACATTGTAAGCTCCTCTGTAAGACTTTATTTCTAAATGCTACATGCATCATTTTGAAAACCTAAAAATTTTTTTTTCCCAAAAGATCATCACTGTTTTTTAGCAGAGACTAGAACTAACTCATTTATTCATACTAAGTCATTGACAGTAATGATTAGGACAGTGAGAAAAAATAGTTCTTGTCATGAATGGCCAAGACTTTCAACTTAATATACCCAATGCTAATGAATACTTACTTCAAGTTTTTTTATGCCATTTTCAACAAATTTAATAAACATTAAAAAATTTAGTTCAGTTTCAAAAATGTTAAAATCTCTGCAAACAGTATTTATAAATTTAAGTACATGTGAGTGAATTATCAAGCTATTAGGTGATATGGTATGGACTGCATAAAAAACTATTACAATTTTTTTTTGAAGCATATGGTCATATAAATCTTTGAGTAAATTCACTTTGCCTATCTATATGAGTGTGGCTGTATGATACAGAGGAACTTTATAAACTCATCATTTCTCAGATGAAATGATGCAATCATAATGTGACCCAAATCAAACAAAGCAGCAGTTTTTGTTGACTTCCAGAACTTGTCCCACTGCTAATCCAGGTTGAAAAATGTACTCTCCTATGGACACAAAGAGCAGAGTACTTTTCTAGAATAGCTACAACATTGTCATGGAATTAATTTTTAATCACATCATATTTGACCATGCCAAAAATTAAGGTAGCATTAGAAACTCCATGCAATACCATACAGAAAGGCTTTCATCTTTTAAAATTAAAATTCATAGCTTTAGTGTAATAGCAACTTTTACAGAGACAATCAATGTACTAATGTTCATTTGTGTTATGTACATATCAATTAGATAATTTGTATTTAGCATTTTTAATAGATCTGACAACTTTTTTTTTTCTTTTCTGAGTCTATTTTCTATTAAAGGAGCTAATTTCTATCTTATGGTACTGCTGTGAGAATCTAATATATGATAGCTGATCAAAAAATGCCAGTTCTATTTTCTACTTTGTTCTACATGTATCTCAGTACAAATCAAAATCTAATTCAACAGCTTAGTTATATAATGTATTCAGTAGTTAAATATTGAGTATGTCCTAGGCTTATTCTAAATAGAATGTTAACAAAAATGAAAGCTGCCCTACCCGATGTCATAACTTAATATAAACCTGTGGTAATCAAAATATTACAGTATGGTATTAGAATAGGAACTGACAGTTGGGTAAAAAGCCTCAAAGAATTTGGAGAGAAATGTTACTACACATTAGTAGAGAAAGAATGAGTTGGTTAAGAAATGGCTATCCATATGGAAGAAAAATATAATTACAGTCCCAATTCACTTCATTGTCAAAATAAAACAACAGAAAAATCCAGGCTGTTAAGACCAAACTTATAAAAAGAAAACTTAGAAGGAAATTTTTTAAATGTTTAAGAACAAAAAAATTTTTGAAATAGAGTAGTATTTCATAAATAAGCAAAGAATGAAAGATTACTAAGTAAATATATAAATCCCTGTATGATAAAAGATAAAGGGCTAGCAAACAGGAAGAAACAGCAATATACCCATATGAATAAGAAAAAAGATAATTAAAAAGAACAGAACAATGACCAGAAAAAGAAATATATATTGTACATGACCAATATATACATGCAAAGATGTTTAATTTCGCTGATAATGAAGAAAAATACTAACTTTTAAAACAAATTTTAGATAAAAACTTTTGAGGCCTAACACTAAGAAGCATACAATAAAGTAGAAAGTGCTAATCACTGCTGTTGAAATAAACTATAACAGCCATTTTAGAGACTATTTAGCTATTAGGTAGCATAACCGAATATATACAATGTCTATGATCCAATAATTTCATTTCTCATATGTGTTCACCGTATATTCACAGACTCCAAATTTGTGACACTGCAATTAGGAAATGGATTAATACAGTGTGGTAGAGTCATGCAACAGAATACTGTTACCACTGTTAAAAGAAATACATGTATTTGGACTATCTTACTATCTCAAAACATAGTAAAATTATGATTCTGTAACATATCTTTTATGCAATATTTATTAAACATTGATACTTATTATGTAATATTTAATTATTTGCTATTAAAATAGCAAAATTATTCTGCAATGTATTATTTATGTAATATTTCATAACCAAAACAAGATATTATTTTTATATAGACCCACGAGTCATATGTGTAAGGGTATTAAAAATGTACTAAAAACTCAAGACACTTTAAATTCACAGCAGTTGTTACATTTAATATTGACTTTATAAATGATTTGTTTTCTAAAAAATAACAAAATACAAATTTAACAACTCAATTCTGAGAATTAAGTGGGTAGTCATTATAGAAGACTAATGAAGGTTACCAATAAAATCATAATTCTATTTTTTTATCTATTTAACACTTTGCTAAGTATACAAAGGTAAGCAAATGGGACAAATTCCAGGTCAAGTAAAGATGCTGATAAAGCTTATGGAAAGTAAAATGTACCTCAGAAATATAAAAAATTTAATCTTCAACATCTGTGTAATTGCTAAAGTAAATCTGTCTCCTTAAATTGTATATTTCTAATTTCACTGCTAAACTATCAAGAGAATTTTCATGTGAATAATAAAAGTATGAGTTAAAAAGTACAAGTCCTAAAATAAACCTACTAACCTGTATGGGTTCTTCTATGTCTCTGAAGCTCATCACTCCTTGTGAATCTCTTGCCACAAAACATCCAGTTGCATATAAAAGGTCTTTCTCCAGTATGCCAGCGGAGATGTGCTCGAAGGTGAGATGTTTTGCCATAAACTTTTCCACATCCTTCAATGTGACAGATATGCTGTTTCTTTTTTCCTGGTTCATTACTACCTCTAAAAAAAAAACAAAAAAAAAACAATAATTACATTCCCCAGACTAAGCTTATAATTATGAAAAAAAGGGAAACCAAGGTAATTAAATATGCTTTTTTGAATAGATTTGTTTGCTCCTAGTGCCATAACTGCAGTTACAGTAAAAAATTTTCAATTAAAGAAAACATAAAACATCTGTGTTTAAAAAAACTTCTATGAAAATGTGTTAGTTTCATTGTTTGTCTATGAGGCAATTTAAGTTCCTTCCCTAGTAGGCTCTTCCATTGGCTTAAAAAAGAAAAAAGAAAAAAAGCAAACTCTTAAGCTTTTCAAGACACTTTAACATCCTTGTTTAAATTATCAGAAGATGGTTAAGTCTAGCTAAAGGTGTAAAGTAAAAAGCTTCATTTCCATCAAGACAGTGTGAGAAGTTTCACGGACCTGCTTTCTAGCAAAGCTGGTGTAAATAGTAAAACAAACAAAAGTCTCCCAAATGGTTGTAGGAGCAAATAACAGCCAATAAACACATTTATTAAAGAGAATCTAACAGAACTGGGGAAAAACGGTAAGAGTCTGTGGCATTTGTATCAAGACTCACTTCTTCTCATCACTATGCCATAGAAACATTACAGAGGGCACAGAAAAACGGGGCTTCTTCTCCCACCTCCCAGCTAGAGGGCTATCTCTCCAGGAGGTGTGAACACAGCATTTCGCATGCTAATCTCAGCTAATCCCTTTGTTCCACATGAATGTTCCTTCTACATAGCCCTCAAATCTGGGACACATCCTCTATCTTGGATATGGCACCGTGAAATGCTATGGTTTGGATTGCCCTTGACTCACCTCATTCTTGGTTCATAAAGAGGAGCTTATAAACTGGGGGAAACAATCTGAGAAGACCTGAGGTTATTGACGGCCCTGTCATCAAGCACACAGCTCTTAAAACATGGTCACCCAGAGAGAAAGGTGCCATTTCTACAACCTCTGGCTTGAGAGTATTATCCTGATCTAAACTAGATAAAAGATTTCACAAGAAAGGAAAAGAAAACTATAGGCTAATGTATCCCATGAGTACAGATGCAAACATTTTCAATAAAATACTGGCAAACTGAACCTGGCAATATATAAACTGAATTCTACATCATGACCAAAAGAATTATCCTAGAAATGCAAAAATGAAAGGTGATAACCAATTAACATAACATATATTGGTAGAACAAAAATAAAAATCGCTGGATCATCATAACAAATGCAGGAAAACATCTGATACAGTCAAGCATCTCTCATAATATACCAAGCAAAACAGGAAGCAAAGGGAGCTTTCTCAATTTGATTAATAAGAGTCCCAGAACTAACACTGCCAACAGTACTCAATGGTGAGGAACTACATGCTTTTCTCAAGGAAAAATAAAGGACTCTTGTCACTTTGCCATGTCTATTGAAAATATATGGAAGGTTCTACATATAGCAATTAGGCAACAAGAGCAAAAGGAAGAAAAAAATCCCAAAATTCCTCTGGAGTAAAAAAGAAGAAAGTTAAACAAAATGGTACACGTCTGCAAAATGAAATATTATGCATCCATAAAAAGATATTAAGTATTCATCAAGCTGTATGACTGAACCTTGACAATATAATGCTACACGAAAGAAATCAATCATAAAAGGCCACAAAATCCTTGACTCCATTATATGAAATGTCCAGAACAGGCAAACCTACACAGGCAAATCTACAAAGACCGAAGTTATTTTAGCGGTTGTCTAGGGCTGCGAGGGTTGGGGAGCTGGTGAAAACTGATGGCTACAGGATACAAGATTTCTTTTGAGGATGACTAAAATGTTCTCAAATTAACTTGCTGATGACTACACAACTCTGCGAATATATTAAGAATCACAGAATTGTACACTTTAAATGGATTAATATGTGTAAGCCAGTTTTATAACAAGAAGTTTAAATTCTTTTACAAAGTTAAATGAAAGAAGAAATTCATTAAAAAGTATATGAGTTACAAAAGCAAACCATCTCTCAAATTCCACTCCTTGAACAGCCAGACTTAATTCCCTTCATAATATATTTTAAATAGAATCTAGGCTCCAACGGTTATGAAGTTCGTTATCAATGACTTCATTTTACCTACTATTTTATGCCTTCCAGAGGGCAAGAGAAGAAAATAGATCATTTACCTTCCTTCTCCTTCCCTACAATTAGGACAGGAACAGGCAACTCTTCGAAGCCTCTTGCCAGGTTGTACCTCTTGATCAGAAGTCTGCTGGCCTTGCTGCAAATGCACTTGTGTGAGTTGGTCAGGACTAACAGCACCTATTGTCGCATTAGCAATTCCTCCAACTGCCACAGTTACAGGAGCTATAGTAGCTTGCTGGACTTTCACTCCATCTTGCCCTTGCTGCTGACCTAAAAAGGAAGAAAACCAGGAAAGAGTATTATAACATTTTCTCTTTCCAAAGAAAGAATTTAAAAAATTCCATGTGGACATTTTAAAGCTATTACATTTGTTCTAATAATCTGTGTAATGTAAAGCAACAAAAGGATTAATTTAATGACTTGTATTACATCAACCTTCCTAAAATATTCTTACTTTAGAATAAGGTGCTTCTTTTTTAAAAAATGGTACTAAGGATTGAACCTAGCTTTATACATGCCAGGTAAACATTCTAGCACTGAATCCTTTTTAAAAATCCCCAATCCTTTTTAAAAATTATATTTTGAGACAGGGTCTTGCTAAGTACGCTAGCCTCAAACTCACAATCCTCCTGCCTAAGCCTCCAAAGTAACTAGGATTACCATGGTGAGCCACTTGTGCCCAGCTGGTGGCCTCTTTCTCTAGTTGAAGGGACCATACATAAATCAGCTGACCCTCTTTGTAACTTAATTTCTTTCTCCATCTGGAAAATAAAAGTTAAAAGTACTTGTCAACCTCATACCTCACTGAAGTATTATGAGGATCCATAAGACACTAAAAAGCACTCTGAGATCCTCAGAAGAAAAATGCTATATAAATACAAAGCACTACTACCAGTTCTGCAGTAAACAACATATAATTCATTCACACCATGAAAATTATAGGAGTGAAAAATAACTAAACAAAGGATAAGTTTTATGGATGGTTCTCATTTCTAAATTGCTTAAATTAAGCAAACATCTATTTATTAATGAGTCATTTTTAAAAAGTGTGCACAGTGTTAACTGGTTTTTTAAAAATACAAAACCATTAATGGCTGTTACACATTGTCACCAAAATAAAAAAAGACATTCATGGTATTACTTTAGTCACTCATGATTTATAGCTAAGACTTCATGTCTCAGATTCAGCTTCATTTAGGGAAAAACATGTTAAGTAATGCTATAAGCAAAAGTATCTACTTACACATCTTACTTCATCTTGGACTATAACTGGCATGACTTACAGTATTTTTTCCACACAATTCTACATTCCCCTATTGGGTATGGGAATGCCAAATATGTAAATGGACTAAAAATTAATTTGTGAAGAAATGCTCCCATGTCAGACTTGATGTAAATACTTACAAATCCCTTCCCACAGGTGATGGCACACAACTGTTCATTACACATTAGCTACTGTTATCATTGCTCTCCTCTGAGTTTTGTGGCGATAAAGAATAAAATATGCTAGAAGAAAAGTACATGTGGTTCCTTAGAGTTAGAAAAAGGGTTTCTTTTAAAACTGCACTTGCAGTACTTTAAACATATAGATTAACCAAGAACAAAAAATTATCAAGTAAGAAAATAGCACTCACTCTTTTAAACAAAATGTCTGACTCTCCTAGCCAAAGTTACCTGAATTACTTTCTGTGCCCACAGGACTCTCAATTCTTTGGGAGCAACCATAACTAAAATACAGGCATCCTTCAGTATCCCAAAGGATTGGGGTTCCAGGGCCTTCAATACCCAAATCTACAGATGCTCAAGTCCCTTGTACAAAATGTAGTATTTACATATAACCTAAGCACATTCTCCCACATACTTTAAATCACCTCTAGACTACTTTCAATGTCTAACATGATGCTACATAAGTAGTTGTATGTATTGTTTAGGGAAAAAAGTTTGTGTGTGTTCAGCACAGCTGTATTTCTGTCTCTGAATATTTTCACCTGCCATTAGTTAAATCTTTGGACAGTGGTGGTGAACCTATAGCACGCATGCCTCTGCCGGCTACTTGCTACCACTAAAAAGCTCTAAAAGGTTTGACATCACTGGCCTAGGATGTGGAACCTGCAGATATTGAGGGTCAATTCTACAAAAATAGCGAGGGGGGCATAATATGTGTGTGTGTGTGTGTGTGTGTGTGTGTGTAATATATATACACACACACACACATTTATATTGCTTATTGTTTTAGTAAGAGTATGTATTTTAGTTTTTCTTCTCAAGTTTACAATTTCACTTACCTTTGAGTCAGCATGAAATGTTAAGGCAACATAAATGAAGTCAGAAATTGTGAATTCATGATTGTTCATTAAAGGTCCTCAGTTTCCTCACCTCTAAAATATCACTGACCTCCCTAAAATTCCTGTCATGTTACCTATTTTAAAGAATTTTTTCTGAAGATCAAATTGATTAGCTGTGGGTAAAGGTTTAAAAAACTATAAAGCAACATAATAAATAACAATCTATCACTACTATGCCTCTATGTATCTTTGAAACCATGAACATTTTAAATATTCTGTAAACAACTCCTTAAAGAAGATCATGGCAAACTAATACGTGTGCACCTAAAAGTACAGTACAATGACACATACACTCCCTGTTTACTGCAAACAACAACACAGTCTTGAAAATGGGGAGGCCCGTGTGAAGGAGACTACAGTCTTTACAGCATGGTACTGTACCTGTGGAGATGCAGGTACTTAGATATAGCAAGTATTTTATACATCTCCTGAAATTATATTTTTGGCCATATTTTTTCCAGCTATTATTCATACAACAGTTGGTCACTCCTTTCAGTTTGCAGTGGTATTTAAGAAAACCTTCATTATATTAAAGAAGTGCAAAGGACTCCCGGTTCCTCAGATCCTTTGCTATTTCTTAACAAACTCAAGCCTCCATACTATGAGCACTTGTTCAATGTCTAAACAACTTGACAAGTTATTTCAATAAATAATAGAAGCAAATTATATTTGAGTATATACATATACCTTAGCCTGATCATGCTCAGCTCTTCACCCAGATGTGTTGCAGACAGGTAAGGTTCAACTTACTACCTTTTTTTCATTTCCACTAGTACCAACATACCACCAAATCCATACCAAGAGCTACAAGACTCCATTAATTTTACTCGTGTCTTGGACCTCATCTTGTATTAGGCTCTCGTTTGCTCATTCTGCTCCTGATACTCTTCTATCCCTAGATAAATAGTCATTTCCTTCTTAGGGCATTAGCACATACTCTCCAATCTGAGTATGGATTTCTTTGCACCCTGATCTTTGCATAGTTGGCTTTTTGATAATATTCTACTCTCTGTTCAAATCTTTCCTTTTCAGAAATGCCATTCCTGATTATACCATCTAAAAGTGGTTTCCTGCAGTCCACTTCTGTACCGTCACCTACTTTTGCTTTAAATTACTTTCTTCTTTCACAATATTTTCCCCCAACTTCAGTCCACTCTGAATGTTAAATGCCATGAAAATAGGGACTTTGCCTGTATGTTCACTGTTATATCAACAGCATGTGGAATTAACACACAGCTCTAGACAGAATGTACCTAATACATAGCAGCCATTCAGTAAGACAAGATTAATAAGTAACAAACATTTTACATTTCTTAAAAAAAGATCATTCATCTTTCAGTCTTCCTTCTAAATGCCCACTTCAGTAAACCTTACTCCTACTCTCCTTACCCACACTCAAAACCTTAAAATGCCATCTTTCAGGCTACTTTCTTTATACACTGTATCTAGCAACTGTTGAATTAAAAGGTGCTAGGCAAAAAAAGATCTAGAATTTATCTTACCATCTATTACCAAAGTCATTACTCTGACTTAGGTGCTTGTTACTCAGTGCATTTATTAGCCCAAATAAACCATTCCAGAAGAAAACAACAAAAACAAACAAAAAGCTCTTGAGAGAAAAAATTTTAAAAAGTACTGTTCTGATCATAGCACATCCATTCTCAATAACAAAGTGCTCTACTTACAGGAACCAGCTTCTGGTTCACAAGACTTGCTCTTAATGGCCAAATCCAATGTATGTTTTCTCAATCAGCACTGCAGCATTACTCTACTGCATTTGATATTATTGATTACTCCATTCTCGAAACTGAGACTCTCTGGGCTATATTCCTGCCTTTCCAGAAACCCCTTCTCTGATAGTTCTTTCCTGCTCTTTTTCTTCTTTTAAAATCAGCGTTTAAATCTAAATTTGTATTACATTCTTAAAAGACTTATCCACCCTGGTTTCCTTTAATTCTCATCTTTCATTCTCTTCTTAAATTAATGAAATTAGGTGTCCATCTCACCACTGTTAAATATCAAGAAGAAGTAAATAATTTCTTTCTTGGTAAACCCAAAGACACCTTCAACTTGCTCTTATTCCAATTCTCGAGAGCTGTTAATTCCATTTTCTTCCTGAGATGTTCTTGTGTTTCAGTAGTAACTACTTGCCACTAGGGTTTGTCCCTTTTCTTCTGATCCCTATGGCTTCAACATCTTTGCCATGCTTCTCCCCTCTAAAATTCCTATGTTCTTCAGAGTATCTGAACTATCATACACTTTCATGTTTACTGCTATGTTTAAGCTAATGTCCCCCAAATCTGTACCTTCTCTGCTCAAATATCTCTCAGGAGTACATATATTATCTACAAGGGAAGATTTCCACTGAGACTTCTCAGAGGCAAACAAACTATGAATCAGGAATCAGACAGACTACCCATTTTCTTAATCTAGTTCTTTCTCACTGCTCAAGTAATTGTTTATCCTTCTTTATAGCACAGTAGTATGCCACTGTATACAAACACCACATTTTCTTTAACCATCTGCTGCTACACATACAGGCTGTTTACAAGATTTAGCTATTTATGAATTGTGCTGCTACAAACATGGGTGTACATGTATCACTGTGACATGATGTCTTTAACTCTTTAGTGATGATACTAGGAGGGGAACAACTGGGTTGAATGGAATTTCTAATTTTAGTTTTTTGAAGAATCTCCACACTGATTTCCGTAATGGTTATACTAGTTTACATTCTCACCAAAAATGTAAAGAGTTCTTTTTTCCATGCAGCCTTGCCACCATTTGTTACTACTTGACTACTTTAATGGTCAAAAATGTTTACCATTTTTTAATGTATTTAATATATGATTTAATTTACTCCTTATATTCTTATAAGCAGAGTTTTATGGTCCCAATTTTAAGATGAACAAAAGGTGGTACTAA